CTGCAAAAACCAGCAGGGATTGAGTCAATGAAAGAAACTGCTGGAGTACTTCTGGTCAAGATGGTGGCATAGGCAGACATGGTTCACCTCTTCACACAACCATATCAAAATTACAACTAAAATATGGAACAACCATCACTCAGGAATGAAAGAAATCAAGCTGAATGGAAATCTGACAACTATGTAAATAAAGAAACCACATCCATCCAGACTAGTAGGAGGGGTGTAGACATGGAACAGGCTGGTCCCACACCCACATGGATATAAATTCGGGGGGGATATCTCGAGAGTGAGGGGTCCAGGCCCATATCAGACACCCACATCAGGATTCCAGTGCCAGGAAGATAAGTCTCCAGAACTTCAGCTGCAAAAACCAGTAGGGGTTGAGTCAGCGGCAGAAACTGTTGGAGCCAAAGCTGTTCCTCTTAAAGAACCCACACACAGACTCACCTACTCAGACTTACTCCCTCTGAGCCCTAGCACCAGAGTGGCAGCTTGAAAGGTACCAGTGGTATACTGGGATAAAGTGAAGTGTCTAGAATCAAGGAGAACAGAAGCCATTGTCCTTTTGCTAAACCTTCCCTCCACAGAGCCAGTAAACTGGTACCATATCTGAGACTCCATCAACCTGGCTAATACTGCTTGACCTGCCTTGGAGATCCCTAAAGACTCTACTGGACCCGACTTATGGGCCCACCCAAACTGCTTTTACATATGAAGACTGGTCTTGGCTCATGTTCACAACTTCCTAAATCCTCTCAAACAAGCAACAGCTGGCCTCAGTGAGTCCTAGGCCAGGCACTACCAGCAGACAGATTAGACTCACAGCTTGTCTTCACCTGGGAATCTTCAAGTACAGCAAGTAGCAGTCATCTCAGATTGCTTTATAGCTCAGGCAGGATGGCCCCAGGCAAAACACAGGTCAGGACTGACCTTGGCCCACACCACGCAGGACACCCCATGGTCCACACACACAGTGGACACCTACAGACCACATCAGAGCACTACCACTCTGCCCCTGCACAGCTAATGCTCCATGGAGGGCCGAGGTTGTTGATAAGTGGTGACAGCCAATCCTTGCAGCTGACTGGCCTGTGTAAATCCCTCCCATTGCTCTGCCAATAGCAACCAAGGCTAAACTATAACAGGAGGGTGTATTCAGTCCAAACAAAGAGTACACCTCACGTACCCAGCTTGGATGATAGGGAGGCTGTGCCACTGGACCCTATAGGATACCTACTAAATTAGGCCACTGGTGTAAAGTGCATGCTGTCAAACTCACAGGGCTCTCAGGTCATGTGTGCAAAAGAGAACATTGTTGAGAATAGGGGCCCAGACCCTTCAGACCTGGGGAAGGGGTGAAATAGTTCCTGGCTCCAGTTTTCTCTTGTGAGACCAGAAAGTCCCTGAAAGTTTGCAGGGCAAGGGAAAAGGGATCAGTGAGAAGGGCATGGGAGTCACTTCACTGTCCCCTTCTTCCTCTCTCATGTTCACAGGCGCAGGAAGGGAATGGCCTTGGTGATTGCCCATGTCAGTCTAAAACTAACTTGGAAGAAACAGAAATCCACCTCCTGAGAAGAAGGTAGAGCTGATGGCTCGGGTCACTAGAAGAAGGAGACAACCTCAGGTGTGGCTGCAATGGAATTATTCTAAGTTTATTTGTAAGAATGGTAAAAATTAGAATTTAAGTTAACATGCACATTAAGAATTCTAGGATAACCACTAAAAGGTAGAAATAGTGTATGCTAATCGAGAAGAAGAAAAAATTGGATGAGGCAGAAGAGAGAATAAAACTGAGAACTGAGGTGAATGAAAGAGACAGAGTAAGGTGGTAGAATTAAACCCAAGCCAAAAGGCAATCAAATGAATGCAACATGACAAAATTCAAATGGAATTTATAGTACATGGATTATACTTCAATAAAACTGCTAATTTTTTAAAAAAAGAAGGCTGAAAACTCTACCAAATTTGGCAGAGGGACTCAAGAAGCTGAATAAACCCCAAAGAGGATAAACTCAAATAAATGCATGCCAAGACACATCATCATCAAATTGCTAAAAGCTAAAAACAAAGAAAAAATATTGAAAGCAGTGAAAAATGACACAATTTGAATGATAGCAGATTTTTCATTAGAAACCATGGAAGCCTGGAAAAGTGACACAAAATTTTTCAAGTGCTGAAAGAAAAGACTGTCAATCCAGATTCCTATCCAGCAAAATTATCCTTCAAGAATGAAGGAAATACAACTCAACAACAAAAAGACAAACAATTCAATTTGAAATGAGCAAATTATGTGAATAGAATTTCTCCAAAGGAGATATTCAAATGACCAGCAAGCATATCAAAGGATAGCTATAATTTTTTAAATTGAAAATAACAAATATTGGTAAGGATGAGGAGAAAATGTTGCAGCTTCTATGCAAACAGTTTGGTGGTTCCTCAATAAGTGAAACATAGAATTAAACAGAATGTGGACTTCCAGCCAAGATGGAGGCATAGGTAGATACACTGTGCCTCCTCACGCAACCAAAAGAAGGACAACAATAAATGTAAAAACAAAAAACAACCAGAACTGTCAGAAAATCAATCTGTATGGAAGTCCAACAACCAAGGAGTTAAAGAAGAAACATTCTTCCAGACTGGTAGGAGGGGCAGAGATGGGCAGCTGGGGAGAAGAGAACATACAGCAAGGCAGCGGCTAGAGGACAAGGTGGGTGAGCTGGCACTGGCAGACTGGGCAGTCCTACATCCACGTGTCCATGAGGAACAACTGGGGAGTAAGACAGACCACGCAACCCAGGGTTCCAGAATGGGAAAAGAAAGCCTCAAACCCTCTGGCTGTAAAATCCTCTGGGCATTGCAACAGTGGGAGAAACCCCAGCCTCACAGGAGAGTTCACTGAAGAGACCCACAGGGTACTAGAATGTACACAAGCCCACACACTTTGGAATCAGAATGAGAAGGGCATGATTTGCTTGTGGGATGCAGGGGAAATGACTGAAAGCCTGCTGAGAGCTGAGCAAGTGTCATTGTTCCATCTCTGACACCTCCCCAACATACAATGCCACAACGAGTAATGTGGGGTTGCCCTGCCCTGACAAATACCTAAGGCTCTGCCCCTTACAACATGACAGGTTTAATCACTAAGACAAAAAAATATGGCCCAAATGAAAGAACAGATCAAAGCTCCAAAAATAGAACTAAGTGATGAAGAAATAGCCAACCTATGAGATACACAGTTCAAAACACTGGTAATCAGGATGCTCACAGAATTGGTTGATTTTGGTTGCAAAATAGAAGAAGAAGAGAAGGCCATGCAGAGTGAAATAAAGCAAAATATACAGGGAAACAACAGTGAAGGGAAGGCAACCGGGACTCAAATCAATGATTTGGAGTAGAAGGAAGGAATAAACATTCAATCAGAGCAGAATGGAGAAACAAGAATTCAAAAAAGTGAGGTGAGGCTTAGGAACCTCCAGAACATCTTTAAACATTCCAGCGTCTGAATTATAGGAGTATCAGAAGGAGAAGAGGAAGAGCAACAAGTGGAAACATTATTTGAACAAATAATAAAGGAGAACTTCCCCAGTCTGGCAAAGGAAATAGACTTCCAGAAAGTCCAGGAAGCTCAGAGAGTCCCAAAGAAGTTGGACCCAAGGAGGAACACACCAAGGCACATCATAATTACATTACCCAAGACTAAAGAGAAGGAGAGAATCCTAGAAGCAGCAAGAGATAAGGGGACAGTAACCTACAAAGGAGTTCCCATCAGACTGTCAGCTGATTTCTCAAAAGAGACCTTGTAGGCAAGAAGGGGCTGGAAAGAAGTATTCCAAGTCATGAAAGGCAAGGACCTATATCCCAGATTGCTCTATCCAGCAAAGCTCTCATTTAGAATGGAAGGGTAGGTAAAGTACTTCTCAGATAAGGTCAAGTTAAAGGAGTTCATCATCACCAAGCCCTTATTTTATGAAATGTGAAAGGGACTTATCTAAGAAAAAGAAGATAAAAAACATAGATAGTAAAATGACAGAAAACTCACAATTATTAACAACCATGCCTAAAACAAAAACAAAAATAAACTAAGCAGACAACTGGTACAGGAACAGAACCACAGAAATGGAGATAACATGGAGGGATAGCAACAGGGGAGTGGGAGGAGGAGAGAGAGGGAAAAGGTACAGAGAATACATAGCATAAATGGTAGGTAGAAAATAGACAGAAGGAGGTTAAGAATAGTATAGGAAATGAAGAAGCCAAAGAACTTATATGTATGACCCATGGACATGAACTAAAGGGGGAGAATTTGAGTGGGAGGGGCTGTGCAGGGTGGAGGGGAATAAATGGGGGGAAATGGTACAACTATAATAGCATAATCAATAAAATATATTTTTAAAAAAAGAAAATGGAGGTGGTAGTGGGATAGACAGCTGCAAGGATCTGAGCTGGTAGACTGAAGCAAACCCTCATCCTAAACAACTTGTAGCTCAGATTTCTTCTCTGAACAGCTGGCTTTTTTCAGTCCTTCTGAAATACTCTGCAAAGATGGGGGAAGGGCTGTGAACTACCTCTGCTATGGACCCTATTTAAAATCAGCTACTCCCTAGATATGTTCTGTAGAAACCAAATGTAATATTCAGTATAGCAGAGATGAAGGTGGTGAACAAGAGGTATACAATTGCCCACCCTGATTTTTAAAGGCTGGAGGCTATTATTGAGCATGCTGGAGGTCTGCTTGGAATAGGCAGTGACTAGACTCATATAAACTGGAATTGGATATCTAATTTGCCTGTCATATTTCTGCCCGCCCCCTCCTACTTGGCACCCTAGACTCCACATTATTTCTAATCCTCCTACCCTCCCCACTCCCACACCCTACCCCCACCAAAGCTCCTGGAATTTTGGACTTAGCTATTTTTAAAACAGTCAACTCAGTAGCCACCTCCCTCCCCCGCTCAGCTGTCCAGTGCTCTGGCCAGCCATATACTCCCCTTCCCCCCACACCAGAACTTCTCTGGCTTGCTGACCTCACTGAGATTGCTGCGGGTCTGAGTACCTGGGGGAGACATGGAGAAAGAGACGGGGGATCCCCTGGCCGGAGCTGACCAACAGAGTAGGCAGTCATGGCTGGAGAACTGGATATCAGAGTAATGTTTGACCTCTGGAAACAGTAAGTCAAAATGAAATTGCAATTCCTTTAATAAGCCTGTGGATTGAAGTTAGACTTTGGTCTAACTTGGATATCTCTGGTCCAAAAGCTAAGATCTCTTCCATGCTAAAGTGCCCCAATCTCCATTTCTCCTGTCTGATTTCTTTGTGGCCTCGGGCCCCTGGCCATCTGAAGTTTAATTCCCAGGTTCTCCTCTGACAGTTTTAGCTCTCTCCTCACCTTGTTCGCTCAAGATTTCTGAGAAAGCCTCCTTCTGTAGGAGGAGTTTCCTGCATCCCCTAATCTGTTTAGTTTCACATGATTACTCCCTGCTTAGCAGTGCCCCTCACATTGGGCTTCCAACGATGGTGGCCACTCATCATCATAAACAATTTCTCCCCACAACTCATCTATTCTCCCTTCTGCATGACTCTTCCCTGAATTAAATCCTTACCCCAAGAGAGGAAAGTCCCTTCCCATGCCCTATACTCAACAAAAGATGGAGAACTTCTGAATTTGCAAAGAGAAGATTAAAGGAAAAAGTGATTCTTCAATCAGGTTTGGAAATATTCAAGAACTGTTGATTCATAACAAGCAAATATTGATTTCCATGCTTAGGTTGCACTCCATTATTTGATGAGAGAGAAGGATTATAACTGCAGTTCCCTAGGATAGAACAAAGAAATTGATTCCCTTTTCATTTGAATACTAAGGGGCTGGGTATTCTACCATTACTTCTTCTTGCTGAAAATTCTGACACAAAGAAAAAAAAATCAATGACCCCTGGAGGATGTTCCCTCCTGATGGGGAGAAGCAAATAAAAGGTATGTTTCTGAAGTGTTTTTCAGATCCTAATTCTATTAGGGAGCCTACTGCAATGACTGGGATCTGATCTGCCCCCATGATTCATCCTTTTTGGACATTTCTGCTATTTGGTTGCTCAGAATGGGACAACACAATGGACTCTGCCCACCAAGTCCACTCAGTGTTCCTTCCACCCCCCACCTAGAGGTATTGCATAAGGGACCAAAAAGTGGTCACAAGAGCAGGGCACAGAGGTTTAACAGCCACACGTATAGTTTGAGAAGCCCCATTCTCCCCAAACTCTAGTCTGCTTATCCTTCTCTTGATCTTTCCAGATTCTCTTCACATCATCCTGAACAATCTTCAACTTTTCTCTTTCCCCATGCCCAGCCAAATTTCTTTTTTCAGTCTCTTACAGGACGGCCAGTCAAAATTCACTAGGTAGGACAGCCATCAGCTGGAAAGAACTGGAGCCTGGGGGGACCTGGCTGGATAGGTATGGGGGATCCAAGCCAGTCCCCTACTCCCCGGTTCCCCCATAGCAGTCCCCCAACTCTAAGCACTCTTACTCTCCTGCTGCTCCTCTGTGGATATGGTAAGGAAGGGCTAGGGAAGGGTTTGGGGAATCTAGAGGGCAGGCTGCTATCTAGGGGTGGGCATGTGCATACATGAATGAAAAGAGATGGGTGCTGAGGGGTCATTTGCCCCACTCTCAAACAGGTATATTTTATTTCCCATTCAACTTGGGGAAGGGCACTGGGAAAGACCTCTATGGACAGGGAGAAGAGATCTAGCGTGCTTAAGCTGTTTAGCAAAACTAAGTGAGGACAGGACTAGGGAACTGCAGGCTGGGGACTTGGGGAGGCCGTCAGTCATTTTAGGACTGGCTGAAATACCCTGACGAGATTTGGGAGGGCCTACTCTGATTGAGCGGGAATCCGGGGATCATTTACAGTCCTCTCCCTTATGTTCTCAGCTCATTCTCAGTGCAAGATCCTACGCTGCAATGCTGAGTATGTATCGTCCACCTTGAGCCTTAAAAGTGGGGGTTCACCAGGAGCACTCCAAGGAGACCAGGATGGAGGGGTGGACTCCAGAGGTCTCTGTCAAGCCCTCCGCTCTTACGCACTATGCACTCGGCGCACGGCCCGCACCTGCCGCGGGGACCTCGCCTTCCATTCTGCAGTGCACGGCATAGAGGACCTGATGATTCAACACAACTGTTCCCGCCAGGGCCCCACGGCCCCTCCCCCGCCCCGGGGCCCAGCCCTTCCCGGCGGGGACCCCATCCGCTCCTCTGGCCCCTCCCTTCCAGGCGGGAGCCCGGCCCACTCCTCCAGCCCTGCAGCCCCGGACCCCTGTGACTATGAAGGTCGGTTTTCCCGGCTGCACGGTCGTCCCCCAGGCTTCTTACACTGCGCCTCCTTCGGGGACCCCCACGTGCGCAGCTTCCACCACCACTTTCACACGTGCCGTGTCCAAGGAGCTTGGCCCCTGCTGGATAATGACTTCCTTTTTGTCCAGGCCACCAGCTCGCCCGTGGCTTCGGGGGCCAACGCCACCACCACCCGGAAGGTCAGGACTCAATTGCTCCTCCAGATTCTCATGGTCACTTCACGGTACCACTCCCAACCTATTCCCACTATTCCTCAGCAATGGAATTCCCAACCCTATTCCCTTTTTTTCTTCAACCACTCCCTTATCTGGAATCACTCCCTCCTACCAAATTATTTGCTCTGGTAAATCACTTTCCCTTGGTGAGAATATCACTCCAAGTCAGAAAACACTGAAAAGAAAGTTGGGGAAAAGAGAGCTGAGGAGCCCTGGAATAAGGAGTTACAGAAGGGAAACTTTTCTTTCTCCTATGGCAGTAGCTGAGATTGAGGCCAAAAACTAGTGAGAGGGGTTTATTGGGAGGAGGCAATATTGAAAGATAATGAGAAGGGATTGAGGAATGAGAGCCATGCTAAACCTTGCATCTCTGCTGGGATCAGATCCCTAACTATGTCAGAGGTCTGACTGGGAGAAGGGGGAAGGATGCCCTGAGCCCAAAATGAACTGCTTTCCTTCTTGCCCTCACAGCTCACCATTATATTTAAAAATATGCAGGAATGCATTGATCAGAAGGTCTACCAGGCTGAGGTGGACAATCTTCCTGCAGCCTTTGAAGATGGTTCTGTCAATGGAGGTACCCGACCTGGGGGCTCAAGTTTGTCCATTCGAACTGCTGAACCTGGGAGCCATGTGGAGATTCAAGCTGCCTATATTGGTACAACGATAATTATTCGGCAGACAGCTGGGCAGCTCTCCTTCTCCATCAAAGTAGCAGAGGATGTGGCCAGAGCCTTCTCAGCTGAGCAGGACTTACAGCTCTGTGTTGGAGGGTGCCCCCCAAGTCAGCGACTCTCTCACTCAGAGTGCAATCATCGGGGAGCTATAACCATTGATACTGCCAGACAGCTGTGCAAGGAAGGGCTGCCAGTCGAAGATGCTTATTTTCATTCCTGTGTCTTTGATGTTTTAATCTCTGGTGACCCCAACTTCACTGTGGCAGCTCATGCTGCTCTGGAGGATGCTCGAGCTTTCTTGCCAGACTTAGAAAAGCTGCATCTCTTCCCCTCAGATGCTGGGGTTCCACTTTCCTCAGCAACCCTTCCAGCCCCACTCCTTTCTGGGCTCTTTTTTCTGTGGCTTTGCATTCAATAACTAGGCCAGCAAGCCCTTGATTGGTTTGAAAATGATTTGGGCATACAGATTGGCAGGGAAGAACATGAAGAACCTCTGAAGGAAACAGTGGGAACTGGGAGACACATGAAATAGTGGCATTTATCCAGAATCAGACACGGGTGCAGTCCAAAGCGGAAATGATCATAGACTAAGGATTCTGGACCAGGTTTCTGCATTCAAGACCTCTTTAAGGACTCTTCACTAGTTTCCCCAATCCCATTTATAGTAAGTGAGTTGTTTCAGTCCATCTACTCCTGAGATCACCCCTACAAGCTTAGAGGTTATAGTGGTCCTGATGATCAATAGAAAACTGAAGGATTGGGACTTTTAAGAGGACAGAACTGAAAGAGGAAGACATGATCATTACCCATAAACTCAATGGTTTTCTAATCATTTTCTCTTGGAAGGTGGAAAGGAGAAAAAATGATTAGGGAAAAGAGTCTTTTGGATGAATATGAATGTGAGTAAGATGTGTTCTGCTTTTTTTGGCTCAGAAATGAAGTAGGGGTTTGTCTGAATCTTAAGTGAAAGTAATCTCTGCCTTTGGAGAATGGCACAAATAGTAAAGAAACTATCATACCCACCCTTAACTAAACTGCTATTAAAGCTATGAATTCTTCACTCCTTTGGTTTTCTATCTTCAGTCTCTTCACAGATGCTTAAAAATGAGTACAACAACATAGTCACTCCACTGAAAGGGGCTCAGAAGCATCAGACATTATTTTGCCCTCAGGAAGTTTATAGGCTATTTGGGAAACAAAACTGATTTACATGAAGGAGTGACAAGTGTGTAATTATTCACTATATTCTATGGTACTGTGAATTCTGATCAGAAGATGTTTGGAGAGAACTCAAGTAATAATAAGTAATAAGAGGTAATAGAGAAAATAGGATTTCAAGTGATCTTTGAAGATTTGAATTATTAAGGACCACCTTCCAGGCAATGACAACCAGCTGGAGTTATGTATAGATTCATGATTTTGTGAGGAAACCAGCAAAACTCAAATGAATTAGACGAGGTAATGGGATAGAAGGGGAATGGCTGAGGCCAGATTATGAAGCACCTCAAAAGTTGAGCCAAGGAGTTTAAATTCAATTAACAGCTAACATTTATCGAAAGCTTAAAACCTGTCAGGCAATGTTCTAAACATTTTTAAATTTTTAATTCATTTAATCCTCACAACTACCAAAAGAAGTTAATATCCTCATTGCTCTTTTTATATAAGGAAACTGAGGTACAGGAAGATTAAACAATTTGCCCACAGTCATACAGCTAATAAATGGTAGAGCCAGAAACTGAACCCAAGCAGCTTGGCTCTAGAGCCTTAATTCTTAACCACTATAGTATATATTGTCAAGGAAACAGAGCCATTAAAATTTTTGGTTATGGAGCTGGGCAGAAAAGGAGAGCTGAGGTGGTGGCTGCTACCACAAAAGCTACTTTCTCCTTCTATCATATGAAACCCAAAAGGAAGAGCTGGGGAGAGGGGGAGAAGCCCAAAGTTGAAGGAATCTAGTTTGTAGAAGAAAAGACTTGAGAATAGTTTTTCTAGTCCAGAATGTTCTAAAGTAACAGTGCTGCTCTGAACAAAAACTACTTAGGAGTTAACTTTTATATTCAGTATTTCCCCATTTTTTTCTGGTCTCAGTCTCCTCCTTCAGCTACTCTATTATCTAGGGCCTGTTCCTAATCTAATCATATATTGACACTTACGTTCTCCATCTTCTCTCAGCCTCACCCACCTGAACATACTTCCCCAGAACACATATACACACTGGTCAGAGCTTACCAGACAGGGTGTCCTATCTGGTCTGCCATTTCAAATTGCTTTTGCAATTCTTCATCCCCTATTTCTTCCTTTTCACCTCCTCTAAGGACCACAGACACTCGGCCATTTCCTCAAAGCCTCTCTTTTAGAAACTGCTTCTTATATTAGTTCTCTTAACTCATCAGAGTAAATTATTCCTCAGGTTTGGGAATCTTAAGTTAGTTAAGAATTTCATAACCAACTGATGAAAGATCCTTTTATGACACCTGTCATGTAACACTGCTCCCTTTCCCCAAATTTACGATTAGCCCTACTACCAATGCAGTATTTTTAAAGGGGTAATTCAACATAAACTCATGAAAAGATGCTCAACATAATTAATCATTATGGAAATGCAAATCAAATTAAAACCACAATGAGAAAATACTACACACCATTAGAACAGTTAAAATAAAAGATTGACCACCCTGCCTGGTGTGGCTCAATGGATTGAGTGCCAGACTACAAACCAAAAGATTGCTGGTTTGATTCCTAATCAGGGCACATGCCTGGGTTGTGGGCCAGGCCATCGGTCTGGGGTGTAGGAGACTCAACTAATTGATGTATCTCTCATATGTCAAATGTTTCTCTCTTTCTCTTTCTCCCTCCTTTCCCTTTTCTCTAAAATTAAATAAAATCTTTAAAAAAATAAAAGATTGACCATATCAAGTCTTGGCAAGGTATAGAGCTCTCACACCCTGCTGGTGGGAATATAAAATAGTACAACCACTTTGTAAAACAACTTGGCAGTTGCTTTAAAAGCTAAGTATACACTTATCATACAATTGAAACATTCCACCCAAGAGAAATAACATGTCCTGCCTACAAATGTCCTTCATAGTCTTGTCTGAAATAACCAAAATTGGAAACCAGCCAAATGTCCATCAACAAGTGAATAGATACACCAATTGTGGTAAATCTATGCCATAGAACACAACTAAGCAATAAAATGAAGTCAACTACTGATCCACACAACATGATGAATTTCAAAATAATAATGTCAGTGAAGAAGCCAAACAACAACAAAAAGGAGTGCCTACTGTTTGCTTCCATTTATATAAAATTATAGGAAGAACAAACTAATATATACTGACAGAAAAGAGATGAATGGTTGCCTGGGAATGGGTGGAGGGAGGAGGAATGGTTTACAACAGGGCATAATGAAGCTTTTAGGAGTAATGTGTTGTGTTCATTATCTTGAGTGTGACAACGATGTCAAAAAACATGAAATTATACACTTCAACTATGTGTAGTTTATCATACATAAAGCATACCCAATAAAGCTGTAAAATTTTTTTACAAGTTTCTTTCTCCCTTTGGTGGATCAGACAAAAGCTTAAAATGACCACAGATAGCATAGAAAGAAAATAATATTAGGACAGATTTTCTTTCTAGGAAAACACAGATAAGAAAAGGATGACAGAGCAAGAGAAGAGAATATTTAATGATTTTATATTCTAACTCTTATCATAAAGACCACATTCCTTCCTCCAGAGAGTCATTCTCAAGGTCAGAGACCAAAGAAAGGACATTTTCTGGTTTAAAAATACCAAACCTGTGCCTCATAATTCTTTCCACTCCACCTATAGTCAGCAGGTGGCGCTGGTGACTAAAAAGAATTAGTAGGGATGGGGCAAGTCTCCGGAAAAAGAAAATTTTTTAGATTATCTGATATGTTCCCCATTTGAGAGAATATATTAATAATAATTTGGCAGAATTGTCATTTTGGAAATAAATTGAAGCTAGGTGCGTGATAAAGTAAATAGTTTAAATTATTATAACTTCACAACAAAGGATTATTCAAGACATAAAACAATCAAAATACACTGCTTGGCTCCACATGGATATTATTTACACAGTGATAATAATGTAAACACTGACTTGATTTAGCCAAAATTGTGATATAACCCTATTAGGAGGATGAGGTAACAGGAATGGGAAGGTAGGGATACAATGAGATGTAAAAATACAATGGGATGTAAAAATACAATGGGATATAGTAAATTTCAATTACTATAACAAAAAGAGGAGTAGATATGTCTAATATTTTTAAATTAAGAAATAAAAGAAGCATATGGTTTAGAAATATGAAGTAAATAAACAGATTAAAAAACTGAAATAATTGGAAGAGATCATTCAGTAGAGAGACCTGAGGAGTGCTGTTTTTTGTGTAAGCAATTCAATATTACATGATTTCAATTACATTATGTTACATTATTTTGATTTTTTAAAGGGAGGGTATTTTCACCTTAGCCATTTCTTAACTTTCTCCCTTAACTTCTTTTTTCTTTTAACCAAGTTGTACTTTTTATTGTTTTTCTATAACAATTGTCCCAATTTTCCCTGTTGCTCTCCCCCCCCCGCCCACCCCCCCACTCCCACAATCAATTCCCACCCTTTTGTTCATGTCCATGGGTCATTTATATGTGTTCATTGATTATATCCTTCCCCTTCTTTTCCCCCAACCCCCCTTAACCCCGTTGGGGGTTGTTGTCAGTCTATTCCTTATTTTCATGCCTCTGGGTCTATTTTGCTTTCTTTTTTTTTTTTCATTTTATTCATTAGGTTCCTGTTATAGGTGAGATGGTATGGTATTTGTCTTTCATTGCATGGCTTATTTCACTTAGCATAATGCTCTCCATTTCCATCCATGCTGTTGAGAAGGGCAAGAGTTCCTTCTTTCTTTCTGCTGCATAGTATTCCATTGTGTAAATGTACCACAGTTTTTTGATCCACTCATTTACTGATCCCCCTTAACTTCTTAAACTTGTGGCCACCTCAGCCACTTCCCAGATCCACCCAAGCCCTCCCTACCCTACTCATATATTTCATGGCAAGTTCCTTCCCACATTTCTTCTCAGGAAACAGAGGTAATCTCCATGATGCCAAGAAACTGCACCAGTATTAAGGGGGGGCGGGGGGAGAAGGTAGAACAGTATAAAATAAAAGTACTTCCTTAATTTTTAAAAGATTTTATTTATTTATTTTTAGAGAGAAGGGAAGGGAGGGAGTGAGAGAGGGAGAAAAACATCAATGTGTGGTTGCCTCTCATGTGGCCCCCACTGGGGACCTGGCCTGCAGCCCAGGCATGTGCCCTGACTGGGAATCAAACCAGTGACCCTTTGGTTCACAGGCCATGCTCAACCCACCGAGCTATACCAGCCAGGGATCTTTCCTTAATTTTTCTGCCTGCTCCCTAACTAAATTATTTGTCATCCTCCCAACAGTTAATAGAAAGGAATTAGTTAAATATGTTCCCTGAGATAAAATTTTTGTATGAATGGAAGGTGAGCTTTGAGGAAATGAGAGAAATCAGATAACAAGATTCTGCCTCCACTATGAGCTATTTTGGAATCATTCTCTGCTATTGGTTCAAAGAACCAATAACTTTAATATCAAGGGTTTTGTGTAGTCAGTCTTTGATAGAGCACTTTTCTTCTACTCCTACCTCTGAAAAACTAATAGTCAGATTTTTAAAAAATGAATCAGCCTCTTCATTTTGCCCTCTTAACCCACCTCACCCCAGCCAAGAACTGAAAGTCCCTTTACAAAACTTATAGCATCTGAAACAGAAAATATTCTGCCATAGTTTTATTTTCTCTTTATGGAAGTCACTGATCTGCACCTACCACAACCAAGCTCTATGGCTAGGGGGAAATACCATCAGTTTTGGAGAAGAAACCAAAACCAGAAGTACAAGCAATGGAATTGGCTTTCTAGCTGATGAGGGAAAAATAATCCTTTGGATTGATTTCAACCCTTCTTTAGAATTTTTGAAGCATCTAAATCATGCCAGACCATAAGAAAACATGGCTTTTAACTTTGGGGAGTTCAGTTTAGTGGGAAGGAACAGTCAAATACTAAACATAATTACAAAATAAATGATCAATATGCATAACTATAGAAGCATGTCCAGCCCTGGCTGGGTAGCTCAGTTGGTTAAAGCCTTGTCCCAATACACCAAGGTTGCAGGTTCAATCTCCAGTCAGACCACATACAATCTCTCTCTTACAAATCTCTCTCTCTCTCAAGCTCTCTCTCTTCTGTTCTCTCTCTCTAAAATCAATAAATAATATTTTTAAAAAAGAATGTCCTACATGCTATTATAATACAAAGGTGAAAATTAAATCTGCTTGTAGAATCAGAGAAATCTTTACAAAGGATTTACAAAGAAGATGGCTTTTCTTTTTCAAGAATCAGAGATGCTCTAATAGGAAGATCTTTAAAACATAAATCACATGAATTTTGTCCTAGTTGTGTGAACTTAAGCAAGTCACTTGAGCTCTCTGAATCACAATATACATTGTACAAATTATCTGTTGGCCTATCTCATGATAATCAAATTTTTGTGCAATATCTTTATATAGCACAGTTACAGCTGGCTCTATGTACCTATAAATGTTATTAACAAAGAAAGTATTGTTCAATGTCAATCTGGACTTTTAAAAACTGTTTTAATATGTGCTTTCTTCCTCTCAGTCATGAACACAATATTCCTTCCTCTGCTTTGTTTTTTCATGATTTAAGAATCATCTTCACCACTCAAGGAGCAGTTTGAGTCAAGTTTCAAGTTTCAGAAAAGCTTCCGTGTTTTTTGAGACAATTCTTGGATTAAGAATTTTAACAGTACATTTATTTACACACTGGGTGGCAGGGCTGAACCAACTAGATTACTGAATTGTGTAAGAAAGAAATAATTTCTCAGAAAAGGGGAAGTTGGGCTAGGCACACAATGTTCTTTCTCCTTCACACTTATAAACATCAACACAGTCCAATTTTCCCCTCATAGAAAAACAAATCATCACCTCTCATGGCCTTGCTACTCTTACTCTGATACATAATTGGACCAGAGCCTCGGAGGAGAAACCAGTTATGTATGTTACCTTATAGTAGAAAGAACTGAGGTTGACGTTTAAAGTCTAACACTGATAAGAAACAACACTGGGTTCTGAATTAGTGGCACATCTAGTACTAGAAACACCCCCACCTATCTCTTCAATCTATATTTAATAATATATTAACTCTATGAAATGTATTCCGCTAGATTCTATAAAGAATACAAAGATTTAAAAAAGGGTATAGTTTCTCTTTCTAAGAATTCATTATCTAAGAGAGAAAAGGAATGTACATGTAAGTTCTATATGAGAAATATAAACAATGTGCTGTAGAGTACTCAAAAAAAAAAAAAGAATGAAATCCTATTTGACTCCAAGATGAAAGATGAAGGGTTTGAGGCACTGACCAGTGTGGCTCAGTTGGTGGGGCATTTGTCCTGTAAATCGAAGGGTCTCTGGTTCAATTCCTGGTGGGAGAATATGCCTGGGTTGTGGGTTCTGTCCTAGTCGAGGTGTGTGCAGGATGCAAGAGGAGACTGTATCATGTTTATCTCCCTCTCTTTCTTCTTCCCTTCCCCTCTCTCTAAAAATAAATAAACATCTATAATTTAAAAAAAAAGAAATTGAGAATCAAGAAAGATTTCCTAAGGGAAAAGTCACTTGGCTGTCTTTTGAAGAGTTGGAAGGATTTCAAAAAACAGAGATGGGAGGAAGGTCGGACATTCCAGGTAGAGAGAACAATATAAAAGCAGAGAAGGATATATTAGGAGAACAGTAAGTATTCAGGTTTGGCTGAGATATAGGGTACATACATAAGAA